ATTTTGGTTGTATATTGGCTGCTTGGGACTGTCGGCCTACTATTCACAGTAAGAATAGTAGTCGAAATCTTTGTTCTGGGCTTTTGTCTCTGTTCTTGGCCCCTGTCTTTGGCTTCGCTGGTTGGTTTCTATTCTGGGGAGGCTTTGCTAGTTGGTTTCTGTTCTTAGGAGGCTTCTCTTTACTTCGCAGGTTGGCTTCACAGGTGGTGTACTTCACAGGTTAGCTTTGCAGGTTGGTCGAACAGCTTGTTTTCTTGTTTTGTTGTTGGACTCTCGTTTTTAACTTGGTTTGGGTATTATTATGTTGTGAGCATTGATCCTTTGTTTAACATTATTGCAAGTGGATATTCTGATTCTCTTCAGGCTATTAGTGTCAGATTGAATGGTGAAAATTATGTATATTGGTCCTATGTTATGAAAAAAATTTTGTTGGGAAAAGAGATGTGGAGTTATGTTAGTGGTGCTTTGTAAGCTCCAATAGATCCAAAGGCAGAGAAATATGTTGACTAAAAGAATGCTTGAGAGATCAACAATGTTAAAATCACCACTAACAATTCAGTTCATCAGACCATTGGTGTGCATTTGACTAAATTTAACACAGCCAAGGAGATTTGAGATTATTTAACTACATTGTTTGTTCAATTCAATTTTGCAAAGAGATATTAGCTTGAGCATGAAATTCGAGCTACACATCAGGGTGATAAGATCATACAAGAGTTCTACTCGGTTATGACTAGATTTTGGGATCAGTTAGCACTTGCTGAACTGAGTACTCATATGGTATATCGTACTTTTACGAAGAAGCAACAGTTGGTTCAGTTTTTAATGGCCCTTAGAGATGACTTTGAGGGACTTTGTGGTTCTATTCTCCATCATCTCCCACTTCCCACAGTTGATGCAGTAGTGAATGAGCTTCTGGCTGAAGAAGGATGTCTTAAGACTTTTTCTGGAAATGATCTTCTTTCATTGCCTAATCGGACTGTACTAGTTATACCACCTAGAAGGACTTCTTATTCACAGACTAAGTATCAGGGTTGAGCTGCTTCAGATGAATGTAGTTTTTGTCGTGAGAAGGGTCACTAAAGGTTCAATGTCCTAAATTGATGAACAAGAACGCGAAAGGGGCCTTAAATCAGCCATGTAAGCCCAAAGATAGTCATACAACAGCAACTGCTTCACCAGTAGATGAGTCACTCCCATAAGCTCCCAGCATGACTATGATAGTTGATCAGTTACAAAAACTTCTTTCCCTTCATCAACCAGGTGCCTTATCAGTTTCTTCCTCCACAGGTTCATTCGCTATAGGTCCATAAGGTATCTCTCGAACTGCCTGGGTCTTTGACTCAAGAGCCACCCATCATATGACAAGTAATTCGTCCTTATTTGTTTCTATTATTTTTCCTCCTTCTATATCTGTCCTTGCAGCCAATGGCACCCAAATGTCTTTGGCTGGTGTTGGAACTATCGCGTCTTCTCAACTTACACTTCTTGATGTCTACTATATTCCTTAACTTACTTTAACTTTAATCTCTGTTAGTCAATTGTTTAATTCATAATTTTTAGTTCACTTTTCTTCTACTGGTTGTGTTGTGCTAGATCCACGGTCCAAGAAGCTGATTAGGATAGGTCATAGATGTGGAGGGCTATATGTGTTGGATGAGCTTCATGTCACTGAAATTGTTGCATCTACTGTTGATTTATCTTCTTTTCAATTGAATCCAAAATTATATAATTTTTATTTATGACATTCTCGTTTAGGTCATGTTTCTCATTCCCGTTTAAAATTTTTAGCTTATACTGGTAGTTTGGGTAGTTTAGAGTATCATGATATTTCAGATTGTAGTGGCTACAAATTGGCTAAATTTACTGCATTATCTTTTAATAAAAGTAATTTTCATTCTCTTGCACCTTTTGATCTTATACATTCTGATATTTTGGGACCAGCTCCTGTTGCTACTAAAGGGGAATTTAGATATTATATCTCTTTTATTGATGATCATACAAAATATTGTTGGGTGTATCTGATGACACGTAGGTCTGAGTTCTTTTTCATTTTCACTACTTTTCGTGCTATGATACGTACTCGATATTCTTCAATTATCAAATGCTTTCGCTGTTATCAAGGTAAAGAATATTCTTTTACTTCTTTTCGTGATTTGTTGAAATATGGTATCTGTAATGGTACTATTTATCAGTCTTCTTGTACCGACACACCTATTCAGAATGTAGTGGCTAAACAGAAACATCATCACATTATTGAGACAGCTCGTTCTCTGTTGTTGTCATCCAGTGTCCCTAACTCTTTTTGGGGAAAAGCAATCCTTACAACAGCTCACCTGATTAATTACATTCCTATAATCTTTAATTATGGTGTCTCACCTTTTGAAAAATTTTGTGGTAAGACACCTAACTATTTCTCCTTACATGTGTTTGGATGTACATGTTTTGTTTTGCTGCCTAGTGTTAATCGTACCAAACTCTCGGCTCATTCAACCTTATGTGTTTTTCTTGGATATGGTGAGGGACAAAAGGGATTTAGGTGTTATGACCCTAGTACACAAAAACTCTATGTTTCTCGTCATGTTGTTTTTATGGAGCATATTCCTTTTTTCTCTATTCCATCTAGTTCTTTATCTCTGCATAAATATGATATTGTCTATCTTAATCCCTTTCACTCTAATGTTTCTCCTGACTCATATGTTGGTGATATGACTATGACTGATCTTTTCGCCTCTTCTTCTTCTTCCTCTTTGCCTAATGTGTCTATTAACCGCCCCCAGATTGTGTATACTTATGTTCGCAGGATTCCCAATGTCTCCTCCACAGATGTTGTGCCTTCATCTGAACCTCTTAGCTCAAAATCAAATTCTGACACCGTGGATCACACTCTCCGCTACCCTCAATGCACTCGAAAGTGTCCTGATATGTTTGGTTAGTCCAACTCTTGTTATTCTTCTGACTATTGTTCTTTCCTGACTTATATACATTTTTTGTTTGAACCAATCTCCTATGAGGATGCTATACTTGATCCTCTTTGACAACAGGCTATGGATGAGGAACTTTCTGCGTTACATAAGACTCGAGCTTGGGAGTTGGTGTACCTGTTGGTAAACGCCTCATTCGTTGTAAGTGGTTTATAAAACCAAAATCCAATCTGATGGTTCTGTGGAAAGGTACAAGGCTAGATTAGTGGTTAAGGGATTTACTCAAGAGTATGAGTTTGACTACGATGAGACCTTTGCTCCAGTGGCTAAGATGACCATGATTCGCACAGTAATTGTTGGGGTAACTGTTCGTCAGTGAAGCTTATCTCAGATGGATGTGAAAAATGCTTTTCTTGATGGTGATTTATTTGAAGAGATCTATATGACTCCTCCTCCTGGGTTGCCTTGTAGTCCTGGTCATGTGTGCAAACTTCACAAGGCTTTATATGATCTTAAACAGGCCTCGAGGGCATGGTTTGTAAAATTTTCTTCAGTCATATGTGACTTAGACTTCTGTGCTAGTGATCATGATTCTGCTCTCTTCTTGCTATCCACTTTTTCTGGTTTTATTCGTCTATTACTTTATGTGAATAACATGATTATTACAGGTGATGACAATGTTGGAATTCAACTATTGAAAACTCAGTTATATGATTATTTTGAGATGAAAGATTTTGGTTCACTTTGATATTTCTTAAGGATTGAGGTTGCTTCTTTTTCTAAGGGTTATCTTCTTTCTCAGTCAAAATATGTCTTAGATGTTATTGAGCGAGCTTGCTTATCAGATACTTGAATGGTTGACACACCCTTGGAGCTCAACATTCGTTATATTTCCTCTGATGGTTCACTTCTGCCTAATCCTACCTTATATTAGACTATTGTTGGGAATTCGATATATCTTTCTGTTACTCGTCCAAATATTACTTATGTGGTGCATGTGGTTAGTCAGTTTGTTTTTGCTCGTACTACACTTCACCGGTCTACCGTTCTTTGAATTTTTTGATATCTACGAGGTACGTTGCATCAGAGTTTATTATTTTCTTCCTTATTGTCTCTGGAGCTTCGTGCTTACTCTGATGTAAACTGGATTGGTGACTCTATGGATCGCAAGTCCATTATTAGTTTCTGTCTCTTTCTTGGTAATTCTCTTATTTCGTGGAAAAGTAAGAAACAAACTGTTGTGGCTCGATCTTCTTTTGAAGCTGAGTATCGTGCTATGGTCTCCACAACATCAGAGATTGTTTGGTTGCGTTGGCTATTTGCTAATCTTGGCATTTCCTTGTCTGCTCCTATTCCTATGTATTGTAATAATACCAATATTATTCAGATTGCTCATAACTCGGTATTTCATGAGCACACAAAATATATTGAGATTAATTGTCACTTTATGCGCCACCATCTTCAGCTGGGCATGATATCTCTCCCCTTTCTTCCTTCTACTATGCAATTGATAGAATTTTTTATGAAATCTCACACCATCGCACATTTCAGTTTTCTTCTTGACAAACTCTTGATGTTTGATACTGTCACCTCATGAGATTGAGGGGGGATGTTAGAGTATTTATATTATGGATAGTTTAGACATTTTATATTATTTTGTTGCCCTACTATATAAAGGTCTACATTGTGTATCATGTGTTAAGGTTGTATTACTGAATAAATTAGGCTTCATATCATTCTTGACTTCTCTCTCTCTTTTCTTCCCTTTGATCAATGTTAACACGCTAAACTTGTGTTTCAACGAGAATATCTACAGACAATTGGACTTCTGCTCAAAACTTGGCTTGCATTGTATGTTCAAAATCTGGAGGCTGCTTAACCTTTTTCTGAATTGATGTCCAAATGAAAACGATATGATTGTTTGTTCCTGCAAGTTGAACATAGCAGGAGTTCAGCGCACTACACATTATTTCCAGTTTTGACGAGACACATCGTGGCAAAGTTGGCATCAACAATTGTATTAAAACCAACATGAATAATTGATTAAGTCGGTAAATTAAATTCAAATAACATTGCTCATCTGACATAAACCTCAACAATATCGAAAGGAACGAAACCTCCTAACACTGCAATCCCATCCCCAGAATGCAGAGCTAAGCAGCAAGAAAACCTGTTCACATTATTTAGAATAACAAAAACTTCATCTGGAACTGTAACATTAGAGGATTATTACAAACTCGGCTTCCTCCTCAGCATTGTAAACATGATTTATGCTATAATGTACTGATCCTATATATACATGACATGACTACAAAACTGATTTATTACAGCTGAGAATCTTCATATCTGCACTGCAAAATTAGTTTTGGCTACCGTGATGCTTGTGAAGTGATTGGATCAGGCAGAAATAGAAATATAAAGTTATCATAGACAATTCATTGCCTCGAGGACTGCAGATCGTGCTCAAAGAGAATGAAGGCTTGCTGCTCAAGAGCAATGTAAATTTACACTGTGAGGTGATGTTGCAATCCATCTCTTCTTTTTTGGGTGATGGATAATGGTACCTCTCATCTTGAATTTCAACAGTGATGCAGTAGAATCAGCTTTCAACATCCATGTTTATCTACTGAACACCAGCAAGAACCCCTGTGATACAATCAGACACCTTGTTATTGCTTAAAAAAGTATTGAGTTTCACCCATTTCCAAATATATCAAGACTTTTTTTTCAAATTTGATCATCTCTTTCCTTATGCACATAATAAAGACTCAACAGCTTCGAGTTTTACTCAGTGGGTCGTAGTCGTAAGCATCACCAGCCTTGACAAAGCGTCCCTTCACACGCCTTCTTACATCAGCTCTTGCCTTGCGAGAGGCATACCTCACTTTCTTCTCAAATCTATACACAGGCAATGTCAACAAGAGTTTAAGAAATGGAAAGAATAGGAAAAAGAAAAAGTAAATAAATGGAGGGAAAAACTTATGCATTGAGAGGTGGACTATAGTAGATGCAAGCCACGGATTGTAATGCCAATATGGACCCATGAGGTTGGAAATTTCAACACCACAGAAAAAAACCGAATCCCAAATGCTCATGCACAAGGGTGTCAATCGTGTCGTGACGTGTCACCTTCGGTCATATTATTTTCGTGTCAGATCATTTTCGGTACATATCGGATTCATATCAATCATGTTATTTCCGAGTTTTGTGTTAGGTCAAGTTCGTGCCGGGTTCATGTTAATAGAAAAAAATTGACACCCCTACATGAGCATACTACAAAAAGACGATGTAATGTGAATGCTGAAGAAAATAAGTGATTCCCATGAATCCACTTTAAGCATTTCTAAAAGTAAATAAATGATAAAATAAAAAGGAAGACTTACTTGCGGGCCTTTTTCTTTTCCTTATAACGCAAAACAGCACTACTCCTGCTAGTCAAGGGGAAGGAATTTTCAGGACATGGGGAACACCATGGAGGCTCTCCCATGAGAAGCATTGAAGAAGCCCCACAATCTTGATAATCTCCAGCACCACTCTCCCCAGAGAGGCCAGAAAATGAGAGATTGGATGGAGCTTGCCTTGGAAAACAAGGGTTCGGTTCCGTCTTACAGCTCATCAAGGAATCAGCAGATGGTGCATTGCTGCATGTTGGCTGCATTGCATTCACCAGTCCAATTGACGACCCCTGATAATGAACATATAAGATTTATTCAGCAATCGAGTATGAACTCAGAAATGGTCACTAAAAATTAGGTGAACAGATTTTGTTGACGGCATTGCAGTACTAGACTGAGCAGCTTTATTCAGAGATTGAAACGCATTTAGTTGGCTAACATATAGATGCAGGCACAGAATGTTGGAGATGGATCATCCCAGTATTCCATGAACATATTGAGGAATCAATGCAAAAAATTTAGCAAGCATTCCAATTATATATGCAATTAGTCTTGATATAGTCATCACAATGGAAGAACTGATTCTTAACAAAGAAAGATCACAAGCAAACACCAGGGACAGCCATCTTGTTTCTAAATAGTCAAAACACATGATGTGCTTAACAAAGAGTTCTCTGAGGAACTCGATTTAGCATTTAATACTCTCGAATTGGATTTGAACCAATATCAAGCTTGTCTACACCATTTTGACGTAGATGTTCAAAGGCAGCTAAGGGTTGTGCTTGTTTGAAAGGTGGATACCTCGGTTTTGAAGCCTACAATATTTTACCTGAGCACACTCATTTCTGGCTTTCAGGTTGTCATTCCTGTTCTTTTATATGTTCCTGAGGGAAATGTAGTTAAGGCTATATAGTTTTTGGAACGCCAATGTGCTCGGCTCTGTTCTCATATGTTCCACAGTAGAGGTTGTCTCAAAGCTCATTTAAGAAAGACCAGAACTTCTGCTGACATAATAGGCACATCAAAATCATAGTCCATGATGGGCCATGAAAGAAGTGAAAGATTGGGTTTTTCCGGTGTTTGTTGCAGTCATTCAAACAGATTACAAAGCTAATTTCCTTTCTATTACTTTTTTTTTTCCTTTTGAGATTTAAAAAAGCCATACAAATGATTGAAATGTATAGACAGGCAATAGAAAGGGAACAAAATCTAATCTAATTAAGGAAAATATGATTGCATCTTTCCATTTGTGAGGAAAGTTGCTGCTGTCAACGGTCATAAACACAAAGATCAACCTAGCTATATAAAAAGAAGTGATCAAACCTCATGCAGTTCGGGTCCAAATTTAGAAAGGCAGAAAATATACATTAAAATGATTTAAAAGTAAACACAAGACTATTCAGTGGTTTTCTGAGAATATTCTATGAAAACAGGAGTATAAATATGCTATCTCCATAAATAAAAATTCATTTAACCAAAATATAGATGAGAAGGATGGCACAGTTCATTGAAAAAGTTCCCTTTTCCTAAGATCAAAAAGCAATTCCATGACAGACTATCAAAAGATGACAACGATAAGAAAAATAACATTAAGCAATCTAGAATGATGCGATGAGAGAGAACCTCAGTAACATGTGCACCCTGACAGTTGGAATCGGCGCCAGACATGTCCTTCATCCCAAACAAGCTATCAATCCCATCATTCTCGAAAAGCTGTTCAGTATCATTCAGAGTTACACCAAACAGTTCTTCGTAGTTCTCAATGTTCAAGTCAACCTCATCCATATCGAAGTCCTCGTAAAAACCATCGTCTTCACATTGTTCAGTCCCCTTAGTTTCAGAACAGTACAGCTGCACATTTTTTAGGTCAAAAAATCTTCATTTACTAGTGCGACGAAAAGGGAACTTCTGTGCATTTAGAAAGCTACATGACACAATAAAGCAAAGCTAAGAATTACATTTTTCCAGAATGAAATCAACAAATTAGTGGCCAATTCAACTTTATTAAATGTTTAGTACGGGTGCAATTTGGGCGGACTAACCCGAATTTAAACTTAGTCCAACCCAAAAAAAACAAGACTTGAATTAGAATTTTAATACTTGGATTAGATCTAGACAAAAAAATTTCAACTTGAATTGAATTCGGGTAAGCCTCGAGTTAAGGCCTCAGATTATCAGGTTCAATCTGAATATTAAAATCGGGTTGAACCCGATTATTAAATCGGGTTGAACCCGATTATTAAATCGGGTTGAACTTGAATATACATAAATATATAATATATATTTAACTAGAATTAGTATTTATCTTCACTCTTTAGAGTCCAGACTTTCATTTCACTTCAAGTTTTCACCTCTGTTCCTCCATCACACTCAGATCCCTCTCTCACTTGTTGCTCGTCTGTGACTTGTCACTCGTCTCTCATCTTATCTCAGACTCTCAAACTCTTAGCCTCTCTCTCTCCCTCATCTGAGTCTCGTACTCACTCGTCACTCATCTGAGTCGTCTCAGACTCCCTCTGTCACTTGTCACTCCTCCCTCTTTTATCAACCCAAATATAGTAACTCGAACCCAACCCAACCTAATTTTTAATCCGAATTAAGTAACTCGAATTCAACCCGAACCCGCCCGAATTAAACTCGGGCAGTACTCGGGTTGAGCTAGGGTTAGGGTTGAAATCTATATAACCTGCCCAAGTTGTACCCCTAGTGTTCAGGTGTGACGCCCTTAAAACCGAAAGATCCTTTGTCAACCCGTTGATAACCCATCAACCCGCAGAAATACACGTGAATGCCGCATAATCTGACATCATGTCATAACATCCCTTTTATCAGAACCACAGACCACACAGAGTTTGGACATAGTCTCCATTGTACCGAACACTCAAAAACGCATAACTTGTATATCATTCAATCATATGACCTTTTCAAGGTCCAATATACCTCAATTCATACTCAATTATTGTCCATTTACATCATTTGAACAAAATGACTCAAGGCCCAAAAACATATCAAAAGTATTATTAAAATTTAAAATTTTAGGAAAACCTACCGGTAGAAAATGTCCATGTTCTACCAATAGAAAAACCTTCCAAAAAAGTTCTATCAGTAGGAATGTCAATATTCTACCAATAGAAAAATTCACTGAAAAGTTCTATCGCAAAACTTGACGTTCTACCGGGTAGGAAAAACCTATTGGAAAAGTTCTACTAGTAGAAGAACTCATCGTTCTACCGGTAGGTCTTCCCAGTTGTCCCCGATTCCATCATTTTTCAATTCCAATTCATTTCAACGTTATACAACATCAACTCAAACTCATACAACATGCAATTTTACATAAAACATAGTCCATATGAGTTCGATTACAATCCCTTGCATACATTACATGTCCAAAAACTAAATAACATATTAGTTTTACAAAAACATAGTTTGAAAGCCACATCTCGACTTTTCTTCAACATTGAGGGCCCGAGTGAGAGCCGTCCACCGGCACATGTCCCGCACCTGAAATGTTGTTCCCATAAAGGGTGAGCCACGCTCAAAGGGGTATCTCCTAAAGAGGCTATTCTCCAACCTAGATGCATATGAAAAGTTCACATGCAATTCACAAGCCACAATCACTCCATTCAAGAATATACAATTCAAAAATGGAATCATCTATGCCATGATATGAGATTTCATCAATATTCACATATATCATTCAAGATATTTTATCAAACACGCACATGTATCATTCAAGGCATAAATCATGTAATACATAATATGCCCAAATTATCACATTTCTCAAGAAATCACAAGAAGTAATTTCTACATACTCAATTCATAGTAGAATTGATTTTATTCATTCTTAATACTCATTTCCCACATTTCAATACCATAGGTAAGTGTTATACATGAGATTACATCTTTAACACCCTACCCATTTCATATATCAACTCTAGGTTGAAAATAAACCTAGTTAGAAAAGAAATCCTACCTCTTGAAGTATAAAACAAGTGGTAGCAAACCTTCCAAGACCCAAATCGACCTTTAACCTTTGATTTTCCAAAATTCCGTTTCTTGAACTTCGTCAAAATCCGTGCTTTTTGGTATGGTTTTATAGCCCTTGTTGTATAGAACAATCTTTGTTCTTGGCCCGAGTCGATTCGACAAACATAGAGTCGTAGATCTTAGAGAAAAGTTAAGAACTCTCCCTTTTTTCCCTCTCTTCCTCTTCAATGTAAAACCCAGCCGAACCATGGGGAGAAAATCTGATTTCTCCCCTATTTATACCCCTAGGATGCTTGGTTCACGTTGCGCCACAAGTCCTCCTTTCCCGGGTCCGATTCCGTCCTGAAATAATTAAATTTCGTCCTGATTCAAGTTCAAAATATTTTTATTTGAACTAACTTTAAATTATTTTTCACTTTTCGCAATTTAATTCCCAGTCTTGTTTATTTAGGTCACACAACACCCAATCGTCTTGTAAAACATGAAAAATTTAACTGTTTCAAAATTCAATGAAAATTGACCGGATAACTAGATTTCGCAAGACGAATCTAATTGTGAGGTCCATCTTGTTATTCGAGTTCTAGAAAAATTTGAATTTTTAACCCGTACTATAGTGGCAATTTACCAATTTGTCATTTTTCATAAAAATTCAAATTTACTCTGGTTTTACATTCTTCCCCCTTAAAAGAAATTTCGTTCCCAAAATGTACATACACATGCACATTCAACCACATGCATATGCAACTGACATATAACACTAAATGACTATCAAAATGTACCTCCATCCTCGAACAAGAACGGATAATTAGTACGTATAGTGTTCTCACGCTCCTATGTCACTTCCTCCACACCTCAGTGCTGCCACAACACTTTTATCAGCCTCACGGTCTTGTCTTGCAAAACATGCTCTCGACTATCCATAATACGCACCAGTCCCTCCTCAAAGGTCGCATCCACATCAACAACCAGCTCGTCCCAATCTACCACATGTGTCAGATCTAGAGTATACTTCTAAAGCATGAAGACATAGAATACCGCGTGAACATCCGATAAATTTGGCGGTAAAGCCAACTGTTAAGCAACTATAGCAACCCATTCGAGTATCTCAAGGACCTAATATACCTTGGCGATAACTTTCCCCGCTTCCCAAACCTGGCCATTCCCCTCTTAGACATCACCTTCAAGAAGACGTGATCTACAACCCCAAACTCTGGAGGTCGTCACCGTTTGACAGCGTAGCTCTTCTGCATGCTCTGAGCCATGAAAAGACATTTTCCTATCAAGTCCACCTCCTCTGAGTGTCCCTAACCAAATCTGAACTCGTAGAGGGTCTCTCTCCATCCTCTGTCCAACAAACCAAAGAACAGCACGACCTCCCATAAAGTGCTTCATAGGGTGCCATCTATATGCTTGTTTGATAACTATTATTTTTTGCGAACTCCGCTAAGGGTAAATGCCTTTCTCAGCTACCCTTGAAATCTAGAACGCATGTTTGTAGCATATCCTCTTAAGTCTGATTGACCGTCCGTTTGGAGATAAAAAGTTGTACTTATCATCAACTGTCCTCATGTCTGCTGAAAACTCTTCCAAAAATAGGTCGTAAACTTAGGATATCAATCCAATACTATAGATACGGGTATCCCATACAACTGGACAATTACTTGTATGTACAACCTGCAAAATTTTTCAGTGTGTAGGTCATCTGCACTGCCAAAAAGTGTGCCGACTTCGTAGACCGGTTCACTATCACCCACACCACGTCATGCCCCATTATGTCCGTGGCAAATAGGTCACAAAATCTATCGTGACATGTTCCCACTTTCACTCAGCCACCTCTAAAAGCGGGAATAACTCTGCCGGTCTCTGGTGCTCAGTCTTGACCTACTGAAACGTGAGACATCGACTAACCAAATCTCCGACGTGTCTCTTCATCCCACTCCGGTAGTACTGACAACGAAGATCATGGTACATCTTCATGCCACCTATATGCACAACAAAATGGAAACAATAGAACTCCCAAAGGGCCTCTTGTCTCAGATCTGCAGACTGGAGAACTACAACTCTTTTCTTGAACCGAAGACTACCATCCGCGTGAATGGCTCAGCCCTCGTCACCTATACCCGATCCTTAATGGACAATATCTGTGTCCTGCCCCTGTGGCTCAATCACACTGCTCAGTAAGGAAAGTGTAGCCACCAAAATCTTCAAAGTGCCCTGAGCCTAACCCCAGTAGTGTAGCCCGAATTGCCTCAGAGTCTCGAGCATCTGTCACTCCCGGGAAGCCATACTAGCCAAGACTCCTCGTGACTTCCGATTGAGTGCATCAGTCATCATATTTGCCTTACTAGGATGGTAATGCAAAGTGAATTCATAGTTCTCCAAATATTTCATCCACTTGTGTTGCCTCATATTAAGGTCCCGCTGCATAAAGATGTACTTCAGACTCTTGTGATCCGAAAATACCTAAAAATGCTCACCGTATAAATATTGGCACCAAGCCTTCAAGTCGAAAACAATGACCGCCATCTCCATATCGAGTGTGGGGTAATTTTGTTCGTGGGTCTTTAACTGCAGAGAACCATAAGTCACGACACCCTCCCAGACTGCATCAAAACACACCCAAGTCTGTCCTTGGAGGCATCATAATACACCATGTACCTTTGTCCTCTCCTGAACTATCAAAATAGGAGCTGAAGTAAACCTACCCTTCAACTCTTGGAATGACCTCTCACAAGAGTCATCCCACTGAAACTTGACCTCCTTCCAGGTCAATTTTGTCATAGGCGCAGCTAGTCGGGAGAAGTCCTCAATGAACCTCCTGTAATACTTCGCCAATCCCAAGAAACTGCGTATCTCAAAGATTGACTTCGGTCTCTTCCAACTCATGACTGTCTCAACATTTTCCAAGTCAACTGACACACCTAAAACTGACACTACGTGTTCTAAAAACTTCACCATCGTCAACTAAAATTCACACTTGTTGAACTTGGCGTACAACTGATGGTCTCTCAAGGTCTAAAAAACAACCCTCAAGTGACCCTCATGCTCCTCCTCAGACTTAGAGTAGATCAAAATGTCATCAATGAAGACCATGACAAACTGATCAAGGAAGGGTTGGAACACCTTGTACATGAGATCCATGAATGCCGTGGGGGCATTCGTCAATCCAAAATGCATAACTATGAACTCGAAATGCTCATAGCGCGTCCTAAATGTCATCTTAGAGGTATCTACCTCCCTAATCCTCAACTGATGATAACTAGTGTGTAGATCTATCTTAGAGTAGACTCGCGTCCCTCTTTACTGATCAAACAAATCATCGATTCACGGCAAAAGATATCTATTATTGATAGTAATCCGATTCAATTGCCGATAATCTATACATAGTCGAAGGGTTCTATACTTCTTCTTGGCAAACAACACTAGAGCACAGGACCCTTCGGCTATGAGGAGTCAAGAAGTAGGGACAGATAAGGCCTTATCTGCCCCTACTTCGTTGTTATGGTCATGCAAATTCTGACAATTTGCTTCAAGCTAGGATCAACGTGGACAACTTCAAGATGAAAGAAAGAGGAAAAATCCAATGTTTATCCTTCAATGTGCAACCTAGGAGGTTAGTGAGGTTTGGTTCAGGATGACCTGTTCATTTATGCGTCAAGGATGACAAGCCTACTACAGTCATTTGTATTACCCCAAAATTGGAGAACATAACTAAACTAGAGGCCAAAATGACTAGTTTGATTATCTCTGCTGGACCTGGTGGGCTGTCCGACCCAATTCTCAGTCCCTTGGCTTTGAAGGAAGGTAGGTTTCCTCTGAAATAGCTTGAACTATTTGGGTGACATCTAAGTTTTCTACCAAAAAGTTTAGATCCTGATGAAGAAAAACTGCAGAGATTCAGTATTGAATAATAGAATTCTCTCCTTGCAGTGAAAAAGTAAAACAGAATTCTCCCCCCTTCTTAAAATTTGCAACCAGTCAAGTCTTTTGCTGTCATCATTCAATGATTGTGATCTTATTAGCATAATGCATTTATTTCCTATTTGTCTTATTCACTTTGTCGACAGCTACAGATGGGAGAATAAAGGCCAATTTTGCCAAGAATAGCCTCTGGAATTAAAATGAAGTAGGTGGGATGGCAAAAAATAACAGAACATGGAATGAGTCGTCCAAAACATGTCTCTTTAGACTTCTATCTGTAAAAGAAAATATATGGGTGGATTAGGTCACTAACCACTGTCTAATGGAAACAAGTTTCTCAAATAGTCCTATTCCCAGTTAACATCCTGATGTGAACCTGAATGAGTCCTCCAGAACATGATTACGCCAACTACATCAATTGTGCATTTTTCAGTAAGATGCTAGAGCGCTGGTCTTCCTGTCTTCACCTTCTCTACTTGTTTTGTTCGTGAAGTGTGATTTTTTGGTAGGTTTCAAGTCAGGCTTATTTTTACATTTCCATTTCGTTTCTATAAAATTTCCTCTGGGATGGCCTCCTAGGATTGAGTTTGGGAAACCTCTTGAATATACATATAGTAATCTGTTTCTGCAAGCATTTCAATCTATAAAATTTCAATTGAAATATTAGTAGGGGAAGTTTAACGGCAAAAACCACCCCACCCCAAACCCAAAAAAAACAGTAGAGGCTTATGGTGCATGTTGATTACTAATGTCAGTAAACTAAAAGTATAGGTTTGATGGCCAAGGGAGGTAATTAAACTAGGATTTTTAATATCCATAATTGAGATTGGCAAGCTTGGTTCCAGTACAGTTATGCATAGGATGGACTAACAAAATGTATAATCTCGTATCTGCAGTCCAATGCCCACCCGCGTGTAGATAAGAATTTATTAGATACTTAAAAGGTTGACAATGCTTTATAGCATGAAGTGCAAGTTTTTCAAATAACATGTCAGCAACTCTATTAATAACATGAACATTAAGTTAAGGTGAGTCGCAATAGAATGCAAAACTTAAGGGAAGAGTCCTTGATAAGTATCTTTACTGAGAGAAGATGCAACCCATATAATGTTCTCAGTTGCTGGCATGAAATTGATTATATTTGTTCAAGTATAAATACTAAAATTATAACCTATCTAGTAGCTTAAGCAATAGTAGACAGTGATTCAACATAGTATTAGAGCAAGAGATCCTGTGTTCAAATTTGATCCCTACTCTAATAATTAAAAGATGTCCAAGTGTTAGGCCCAAAATTAAGCTTGCACATGAGGGGACGTGTTGGAGTATAAATACTAAAGTTACGAATTTTCTAATAACTTAAGTTTTTAGAGTAGATGGTGATTCAACAATATTCACACAAGCATCCATAAAATGTTTAACTAATTACTAGAGTCCTACGCTCCTATACATCAGGAAAGTTTATCAGAGGACTCAGTACTAGTAGTAGTTTTGCAATAAAGCCATGCTTTAGAGATAATTTTAACTAGCACATTACGGCAGAGATTACATAATCATCGGTTACCTTGGGTGGCGTAGAATATGTGGATCCCACTGGTAGGTCTACATTTTTCAGCCTGGTGTCAGGTAGAGGCATTGAGGTGGAACCCATCCAAACGTTTGAGCTATCTGCTTTCTGCAAGTCACTCTCTTCAACTGCGATAGCGATATCTTGATTGTTATTATTCCCTGAAGGACCTTGGGAGTTCCCCGAACAGTTTTCAGTGATGCTCATTGCTCCCATTCCCTGCTGACAAGTAGAATCGCCAACAGAAGGGACATCCAAAAGAAATGACCATATTGTTGAAAGTTCTGCAGCAGAAGGGCAACCAGAATAACAATTAAGTGTTTGCCTCTTATGTGTAGAACCTGAGTTAGAACCAGCATGCCCCGTCCAATCACAGTTCTGACAAAGAGATATCCTCTCTTCAACACATCTAACACATGCAGGTTGTGAATTGCATCTTTCACACACAAGTGTCCTCGAATGGCGTCGCGAAAGGGCATTTGCGGAATGGACATTGCGGTCACATGACAAACATAGGGAGGCTGCATCAGATCGACAGTATACCATAGATCTTTGGTCGCCACAGAAATCACATGTGTAACCCATGTTTTAACTAGCACTTCTTCTAATAAGATCAAAACTTCACCCCACAAAACAGATAAGTGCTACAACCTAAGCTGGACAATCCGTATCACCCCAAATGAACAAGAACCACCAAACAGTGAAGCAAAATCCGTTATTGCTTACCTTTACAGAGGTAAAGCAACCTACATTAAACAGGTCAAAATGCCAATCAATAAGAAAACTGGGACACCAATTGACTACAAACAAATGAACTATTGGATTAAGCTATGTAAGGGTCGTTTAAGAAGACAATTCAATAACAAGACCAGAGAACTAAAAGGGTGTTTCCATTGAATTCAAGAATTCTAAAACAGATCTTGGCATAAAAGTGTCATTTTCTCTGAAATAATACACACATTTGAAGGGTTAAAATGATATAGATGCCAAAGGGATAACAAGGAGGCAAATACCCACAAAAAGATAAAAGGTGTAGCAACATGTGAAGCATGTAGAATCTTATCAAGAAGTGAATAATTAGAAATATGCATGGAATTTAGAATTTCAAACTCAATAAAGCCTAAAATCATCAAAAAATAAAAAAAGAATTTTATAAACTTTGTCTTGCAGTGGAAGTGATTTTAGAAAATCATAAAAATTCTGAATAAACTAAATAAATGGATAAGAATAAGAACACCCAACAATCATTGAGACTTTATTATATAATTCAAACTGCAAAATTCTAGAGAATATGCAGATCAGAACAGACTTCCATAAATAAAATCAACATATTTACACTCTCCAAAAACAAAGCCGTCAAATTATCCAAAAATTCCAAAATTTTCACACCCACAAACAGATCATCATGCAAAATCAAACCCATCCTTACAGCTGCATCAAAAAAATTCTTAAACAGTCATATTTACCTAACTTAACCACGAAGATGGCAAAACACCTAGGAAAAGTACAGAACTTTTACTGCAGCTTTTGAAACCCAGAGAAAAACCCAACAAAAAGATCAACCTTTCCAAAATATCTGTGTGTGAGAGAGAGAGAGAGAGAGAGAGAGAGAGAGAGGGGATGTTGGTCTTGGAAGTCCTGTGCTCTGTGTGTCGATTCTGACAAAACTAATAAGAAAATAATAATGAACTGATAAAAAGTGCAAGGAGAGAGAAAGAGAAGGTGGGGATGAGGTGGGGCCTGTCACTTTCGTGAAAAGAAAATGTTAGGCCCCTCCTTTTCTCCTCCCCCTCGGGTCCCCCACCTAAAGGGCTCTCACTTTTACCATTATAGTAATATACCATAATGATTCTGGGTAATACTACTATACAGCCGACCTAATATTTGATACGGTACCGAAAACGGAGTTGGATATATATGTTACACGTATGTCTTTAAAATTGATGAAATCGGTTGTTATCAAAAAAATAATATCTAGCTAAAAAAGTTGTACCACATCTAATAGAATTGTATCTCATCCAATAAAATTGGAACTCTTATCTAAAAAATTGTAACTCTTACCCAAAAAAGTTAAAACTCACTCTAAAAAAGTTAGAATTTCATACCAAAAAGTTAGAATCCCTACCAAAAAAAATTATAATTCAATTTTTAAAAAGTTGAAACCTCAAGCAAAAATTGGAACCCAAAGAATTGGAACCTCTATTCAAAACCAACCCCAAAAAATTATAACTCAATTAAAAAAATTGAAAGGTGAGCCAAAAATATAAACTAATGCATAAAAATTGAAACTCTATCCCAAAAAATTAGAACCACCCTAAAAAAATATAATTCAATCCTAAAAAATTAAATATTATACCAAAAGTTTATAACTCAATCCAAAATAGTTGAAATCTGACTAAAACAGTTGTAATCTAGCTAATTTAAGTCACTCCCAAAAAAATTGGAACCAATCCAAAAAAAGTTATAACCCTTGACCCAAATAGTTGGAAAGATTAGTTACAATTCTTTTAATTATTTGATTTTATTCATTATTTATTTGTTGTTAATAAAAAAATAGGACTATTTAAAAAATATTGAATATTTCTGGACTACAGTAGGATTTTTTTTGATTATTTAGGAGATAAAAATGTGATACTTAAAGGATAAAATGGATAAAAGTGTGATATTTAAAGGATAAAAGAGATAAAAGTGTGATTGTTAAAAGATAAGAATGTGATATTTATCCAAGATCGGTCTCCCATTTTTTGGACCGGTCCTAATTCTTTACATGTAAATTACACTTACACTCCACATATTACAATATATTATTTTTTTATTTTCTAAGCGAATATTGTGGTCCACAAATCACAAAATCGTATCTTCTCCCTCCACCCACTTTCCCGCCCAAACCATTTTTCACTTCTCTTCCTTTTTCTCCATCTCTTTTCCTGCCCAAACCATTTTTCACTTCTCTTACATTCCCTCCATTTCTTTTACCGTACATCCCTTCCCCCTTTCATCATACAAAAGGATTTGTTTGGTTTAGAATTTGGTGTTAATATGATGAATTGAATTTTTATTTGATGAAATTGAATGTTTATTTGGTATAAATTTGATAAATTGAATATTAATTTGGTATTGATTTGATGAATTAAATGTTTTATTTGATGAAATTGTATGTTATTTTGATGTTGATTTGTTAAATTGAATCTTTATTGGATGATTTTTTATGCCAATTTGATAAATTGAGTGTTAATTTAATGAATTTGAATATAAATTAAATGAATTAAATATTAATTTTGTGTTAATTTGATTAATTGAATATTAATTTTATGTGATTGAATGTTAAGTTGATGAATTGAATGTTTATTAGATGAAATTGAATGTTAATTTGTTATTTATTTGAAAAATTAAATATTTATTGGATGAAATTGCATGTTACTTTGGTATTAATTTGTTAAATTGAATCTTTATTAGAGGATTTTTTATATTAATTTTAGGAATTGAATGAATTTGAATATAAATTGGATGAGATTGAATGTTATATTAATGAATTAAATGTTTATTAGTTGAATTTTAATGTTAGTTTACTGAATTAAATGTTTATTAAGTAAAATTAAATGTTGATTTGAAGAATTAAATGCAACATATAATTTTACCTAATAAACATTTAATTCATTAAACTAATATTAAAATTCAACTAACAAACATTTAATTTATCAACGTTACATTCAATCTCATCCAATTTATATACAAATTAACACAAAATATTACTTGAAGGTGAAATATAGGGAACAAAATAAAAATATTGTTATACTTCAGGTGTGTAAGTGTAATTTACTTATGGATGAATTAAGGCCGATCGTTGGAATGGGCAACCAATCCTGGTGTGATATTACACTTTTAACTTTTTTATATTATAATGCATCAAATTAACATCTAAAATCATTCAATAAATATTCAATTTATTAAATCAACATTAAAGTAACATGCAATTTCATCCAATTAATACTTAATTCATCAAAATTACACCAAATTAACATTTAATTCTTCAAATCAACATTTAATTTTACCTAATAAATATTTAATTCATCAACGTAACATTCAATCTAATCCAATTTATATATAAATTCATTCAATTCATAAAATTCACATCGAAAATCCTCCAAAAAAAGATTCAATTTAATAAATCAACACCAACGTAACACGTAATTTCATCCAATAAACATTATATAAATAACAAATTAACATTCAATTCTTCAAATCAACATTCAATTTCATCTAATAAATATTTAATTCTTCAACTTAACATTCAATCACATCCAATTAATATTCAATTCATAAATTAACACAAAATTAACATTCAATTCATTGAATTTATATTCAAATTCATTAAATTAACACTCAATTTATCAAATTAGAATCGAAAATCATCCAATAAAGGTTCAATTTAACAAATCAACATCATAGTAACATACAATTTCATTCAATAAACATTTAATTCACCAAATCAATACCACATTAATATTCAATTCAACAAATTAACATTCAATTTCATTGAATAACATTTAATATTCAATTCATTAAATTTATACTAAATAAACATTCAATTCATCATATTAACACCAAATTAAAATTCAATTCATCAAATTAATATTTAATTCATTAAATTAACATTTAATTCATCAAATTAAAATAAAAAAAATAATCTAATAAAGATTTAATTCACCAAATCAACACCAAATTAATATTCAATTTAACAAATTAACATTCAATTTCATTTAAAAATATTTAATATTTAATTCATCAAATTTATATCAAATAAACATTCAATTCATCCAATTAATATTTAATTCATTAAATTAACATTGAATTCATTAACTTAAAATAAAAAAATCATCTAATAAATATTTAATTCATCAAATAAACACCAAATTAACATTCAATTTAACAAATTAACATTTCATTTCGAATAATAAACATTCAATTCATTAAATTAACATTTAAATTACCTATTTAACATTCAATTCATCAAATTAATACCAAATTAACATGCAATTCTTCAAATCAACACCAAACTAATATTCAATTCATCAAATTAACACAAAATTAATATTCAATTCATTCAATTCGCATTCAATTCTATCTAATAAACATTTAATTCATCAAATTAACCTAACAATCAATTTCATCCGATAAAATTTTAATTTATCAAATTATCACTAAATTAACATTCAATTCATCCATTATATATTCAAATTCATCCAATTTACGCTGAATTCATCAAATTAACATCCAAAATCATCTAATAAAAATTCAATTTATCAAACCAACACCAATGTAATATAAAAATTCATTGAATAAATATGTAATTCGTCAAATTAATACTAAATTAACATTCAATTTAACAAATTAACATTTAATTTCGTATAATAAACATTCAATTCATTAAATTAACTATTAGAAATTAAATTCATCAAATTAAGATTCAATTTCATCCAATTAATATTCAATTCATCAAATTAACACCAAATTAATATACAATTCTTCAAATTAACACTAAATGAACTTTCAATTCATCAAATTAACACAAAAATTAATATTCAATTCATC